GCCCTTTTTATCCAAAAACATTGTGGCGTTATTCTCTATATTCATAGCTTTCATAAAGGCTTACTTTCTCCTGTTTATTTACTCTTAAAAAACCGTCAAGCCCATCATATTCTTTTAAAACTGCAATGTAAGAAGATGCCATAAATTTTCAATAAATAGTGAACTTTGTAGGTGTATGCATAATTTGTACCGAACATTTCTAATTACTGTTATTATTAAGAGTTATGTGAATCAATTTAATGTTAGCATCGCACACTTTACAAATAAGAGGTACAAGTAATAACAAATAATTAGCAATAAACATATTCATATCTGACCTATTTTAATTAAAACCTGCACCTCTTCAACCTTGGAAGTATTAATAATTGCGAAAGAAATTTTTACCTACTTAAAATTTAACAAAAGGGACTAGAATTTTTACGTTTGGTATTTTTCTTCCAATTATCTCCATTGTTTATTTATGTACTTTGTACATTTTATTTCTAAGCCATTCCTAAGGTTTTTTATTGTTCTTGGAGTCGTGATAAATCAATCAATGTTGTGTGGATTTTTGTAGATATGACACAGATCTTAATTAAAAATATTTGAACACGTGTATTTTTAACGATTGTTTAAATATTGCAAAAATTTGAATTAGAATTATGCAGTTTGTAAATTGTAAAATAATTAGACATGGTTAGTCATTTGATCGTGAAGGGAAGAAGAGAGAGAAGTGAAAGTTATTGAATGCTATAAATAGGAAAATTTAATTTATTCCAAAGAAGCTGTTTAATTTTTTTGTGATTAGAATTTTATCGAAACACGCGATTCATGATAAAACAATTCTGCAAAAGTTTGTTAACAAATGTTATTTTGAAATTTGTATTCATTTTCAGGATTAGCAGTTATTTGAATTCACGACTGGCGTGACATACAGTTTTCCTGACCTTCAAGTTCTGTTATTATTTGAGCGGAAGTTTTAGTTTTGTTGATGATGTGTGGAATCTAGATAAAAATCTGTTTTGTTTGTTTTGAGATAATTCTAGTCGTGATCTGCTTTGTAGTGTAAAATGCATAATACATATCGTACACAGAAGTCAGTTTAATTTAATTTTTTTTAAATTGCAACAACTTTTTTCCAGTAAACAATAAATGCAGGAATCAATTAGAACATGAAATTCATCTTAACATACGCCATAATACAATTATAAAGGTAAAAATTTAATTAAACTCATTACTATGTCGTTGTTTTTTCATTACTTTTAAAACATTGAAACTAGCACTAATAAAATATACATTAACATTATAAGGAAAGGAAAAACAAGTAGCAATTTGAAAAATTATTGTTTTATTATTACGCTAACAATGCAAAAAGTATATAAATTTAAGAGTGGTAATTAAATTGACACTACAATACTAATTGTATTAATATAAAACACAAAATTAATTATTTGTTTTAATAAAATTTTAATGTTTTTTACATTTTACGTAAATATAGACAACTAGTAAACATGTAGATACTTAATTAGTATGTTAAAAATGTTACATAATAGTTAGAATTAATTGCGGAACAGATAATAAATTAATCTCAATAATGTCAGAAATACTGATAATCATATATTAAATAAGATTAGGTTAATCGAATATAATTTTTAGCAAAACTACCTACGACTATTGTATCCCAGAGAAAAATACCAAGTAGGTACTAATTAATATAAGATAAATTACAAGAAATATGGAAAAAATGTTATAATTTTACATGATTTTTGCTGCAGGCTATTAGAAGAGGAAACAAAGAATGTTTCACGTTATTTGTAGCTTTTATTGAGAAAGTTTTTATTTCTTTACTGTATAACTATGAAACATTAAATGGAAATGAAAAAATTAAATGTTAAAAAATAAATGTCAAAATTTTTTGAAAAGTAGATAAAAAATTCAAACATTTTTTCCATGTTCTGATGTCTTATCTTATTTGGTATTTTTCTCTAAAAGGCGAGTTCTGAAACACTCTGTATAATTCGTTGCTTTATCAAAAAATATTAATATTGTGTTACATTCAATATGGCAAGTTTTGTTAGTAAAAACTCAAATAGATAATATATTTTATTTGCCATCGTCAAAAAAATTACACTTTTCTGTCTAGATTACTTTAACTTAAAGTTTTATTTTTAAGCCTAAAAATAAAGCTCTTATGCTTAGGTGTTAAAAAATTAGAAATGTAAGTTTTTATGTTTGCGTATAAATTATTATTATTATTATAGTTACATATTTACCCATAATTTTTAATTTATCTGAAGAAATTTGCGTATATGTACCTAAAATTGTAGGTACATAATTTTATGGTATTCCGGGTAAAAGTAACTTTATATGGCTTAGCTGAATTATTTGCCTCAATATGTTCAGCAAAATAAACGTTTAGGTTCGGCACATAATCTACTATTTTAGAAGTAGATTCGTTTTTATTTTTTGAATTGCATTTTTATCTGAACATAAATTAATAAAAACCAATTTTGCAAGAAGCAGAAAAATTAATTGTTAACTTCTGACATTTAATTTATTTTAAAAACATACTTACATCTATGCAACCACATATTTACCTTGTGGTATACCTAGTTGTCAACACTGATACCTTTGTACGAGTATAAGCATAAGCTTCAGCAACTATAAAAAAGTGCAGCTAGCTGACTTGACATCCAATTTGGGTTTTGAATATATTTTTTTAATAAAAACATCAATAATTATCTGACAAATTTATTTCTGGGAAATCAACTTTTAATTTAACAAAAAATCTGATACAAAATCAGTTACTGAAAATACTGTAATAGTGAAATATCAAGTTTTTGAAAGTTCGGATCCCTCAAAAATCGCAAAAACTTTTGATGTGTGGGTTTCCAAAAGTAAATCATGCTCTAATAAGTACATTACAATTGGTTAAAATGTTGTACCATGACAAGTTCTCAAACTGTAGATTAATTTTGAACGTTTTTGAACACTTATTTTCAAATAAATTGATCAGTTATCTGGTGGAATCTGGTTGACTGGAAATAGCCTGGAGTGCCTCAGATTCAATGAAATGCTACGTAAAATCACCTGGAAAATCTGATTACGCTAACCGTTTTGACCTAACATACATACATCTAGACTTGCAAAAAAACATTTAAAAATTAAAAAAAAAGTCAACCCAGACTTTTCAAAACAAAAGACGGTTGGGGAGACTAAGAAAGTGTCAGATGTACTAGATTAAAAAATTTCTAGTCTTGCGAAAAAACATTTAAAAATTTCTCAAAGGAATGCTTCAATTAAAAAAATGTCAATCCAAACTAATCAAAACATCGTGAACACATATCGAAAAATGCTACGCAAGGGGTGCGTCTTTTAATAGGTTTTTTTTTCATATTTCCGAAATCATTTTAGAAAAAATTTCAAAGTTTGGTACAGATGATAACTTTTATACACCTAAACAAGTAGAAAAATAAAATGTTGAAATTTTTAATTAGGGGCTTCCTAAAGTAGATGGGATTAGGATAAAAATTTACTCTAACTATATTGCCTGTGGTTTCTTGCCACTTTCAGCAACAAAATTTCATAGTTTTTCATAAGAAGTCTTTTAAGTTTTTCCGATACAATTTATGGATTTTTAGTTAAAATCGATTTAAAAATTTATGTTACAGACCATAACCAGCATAAAAATTAAAAATTAAATTTGTTTTACAGTTTAGGATGCCCCTGATTAAAAATTTTGTTATTTGGCATTTGTTTAGGTGAACATATAAAGGTACCAAATTTTGTAATTTTATCTATTCTGAAATATTAGGAAAAACTCTTTAAAAAACGTACCTTTTTTAGGGGGTGTAGCTCCCTTTCATAGCATTTTTCAAAACACTTTTGTCTTAAAATTAAATATTCTATCAACTTTTTAAATTTGTACCTAACAATAAAAATGAAACAATGTAATTAACGCTTGAAAAATTAATTCACAAAAATTTAAAATTAACTCACTAAAATAACAAAAAAACTAAATTTTTAACGCTTATAACACTATATAACAAAGTGCTCAACATTTGGTGGGGGGGGGGGGGGGTTGAACTCCCTAATCCCCCCCCTTGAGTACGGCCCTGAATTGGGGAGACTAAGAAAGTGTCACAAGTGCTGGATTAAAAAATTTCTAGACTAGCAAAAAAAAATTATTTAATTTCTTAAAAAAATGCTTGAATTAAAAAATGTCAATCCAGACTTTTGAAAACATCGTGTTACAAAAGACAGTTGGGGAGTCAGATGTACTGAATTAAAAAATTTCTAGACTTGCAAAATAACATTTAAAGATTTTGAGTTATGATGTTTTTTATTTAAAGAAAATTGGAAAAAAAAACACTTCTCTATCCAAAACAAAACTTCAATCGATTCCAAGTTTTCAATACTCAATAAATGATTAAAAACAGATTTTGATTCTTTTGTAATTTTCCGTGAAACTTATACAAGGTGAGCCTGACCAAATTCTCGATGCAACCACCATTACTCTTCGCAAGTTAAAATATTTTGCGACAACTGTAATGTTGGTTGCATCAAAAATTTGGTCAGGCTCATGATTCCTCGTAAAGCACCCTGTAGTTTAAAAAAAAAACAGGCGTTTGAACTTTTGGAAAAACTAAACAGTTTTACGTTTTCCAAGCCACAATCACAACGAAACAATTGGCGACGACCTTTATTGTTGTAAGATGGGAAATTAAAGGTCCTTCAAAATGTAGGTTACGTAATTTCGGATACCGGATGTCTATTAAAAAAATCGTACTACCAAAAACTTGAGAACCGGACCAAATGATATTTCTTGCACTTCTAGAAGTCTTAAAGAGTGGTGCAAAATGTAATTGTCAAGTTTGAAAAAAACAAAATTTTTGGAGGTGAAAACAAATTGTTTAATTTACCATCCATTTTGAAAACAAAAAATTATCTTCGTCACGATGTTCTCTGTTTGTTTTCTTTATTTATAATTTTTAAATTGTCATTTCGATGTCAATTTTTTGACAAAATATTTATGTCATTTGAAACGTTTAGGAAAAAGACTCAAAGAAATCGATGCGCGGATAGCAACCGCGTTACTACGAAAACACGAGTTGGGTGAAGAATTGTTAGCTAGCTCAATCACTCTCGACTTCACAAAATGGTTTTGTACTTTGTAGATTATCTAAAATCATTCTGATTAATTTTTTTCAGCCCCCTAAAAAGAAAGGAGGAAAGGGCAAAGGCGGTTCGGGCAACATTATCGATGGGGTGGACACAACACAGATGACTCGAGAGCAGCTCGAGGTCTTCTGTCACCGAATAAAAGAAGAAAACGAACGAGAAAGAGAAGAACGAAATTTCTTCCAACTTGAAAGAGATAAATTACGAACGTTTTGGGAAATCACAAAAAATGAACTTGAAGAAGCTAAAGCAAAACTCAGGTAAAATAAACACCATTCATGAAAAAGAATACTAAAATAAAAGCTTTTAGAAACAAAGATCGGCAAATTGAAGAAGCAGCTGAGAAAAATGACGAAGAACTGAAATTTTATAAACAAAAAGTCAAGCACCTGCAATACGAACATCAAAATAATTTAACAGAATGTAAAGCTGAAGCGCTAGTGTCGCTAAAAATGTCCCAGGATGACCACACTGAACAGGAAAGAGAGTTGTTGAGAGATAAAAGAGACCTAAAAGCGCAAATACGTGAACAAGAAGTTGCTCATCAAGATCAAATCAAATCCCTGAAATTGGTACGATTTGTTTTAATTGAAAAGTAAGATAAATGATGATTTTAGCAACACAGTGAAGAAATAAGCAACATAAGAAATCAATTTGAACTAAAAGAAAAAGAGTTGGAAAATAAATATGAAAAGAAATTTGCTGATCTCAAACAAGAATTAAATATAAAACATACGTAAGCATTTTCTAATAAAATAGAAAAATATTAAAAACATTATTTCAGTATGGAAATGTCCGAGTTAGAAGAGCGGAAAAATAATCAAATTACTGATCTTACAAAGCACCACGAGAAAGTATTTAATGAAATGAAAAACTATTACAATGACATTACTTTAAACAACTTGGCGTTAATAAGCAGCTTAAAAGTAAGGATTTTTTCCAAAAATTGAGTGTTACTTTTAAATTTTAAATTTTAGGACCAAATGGAAGTTCTTCGGAAGCAAAACGAACGAATGAGTAAGCAAGTCGCTGATATAACAGCTGAAAACAAGCGACTCACTGAGCCTTTAAAACAGGCACAAATTGATGTTGCTGAATACAAAAGACAACTTGAACATTACGAGAAAGACAAGTTATCACTGGCGGTAACAATTTATCCACTGAAAATTATTTTAAACCAAGTATCGAATTTTAGAACACAAAGGCTAAACTATCAACTACAAAACAGGAGTTGGATGATTTGAGATGGGCAAATGACGCGTTACAATTAAGATTTGAGAAGGTAATCGTCCTTTTGTGTGTTTCAAAGTACTTCAGATGAGTTGTTTTAGCTCGAGGCTGAAAAGGACGAGTTGAGTCGAAGATTCATCGACGCAATCTTAGACGTTCAGCAAAAAACTGGCCAGAAAAATATGCTACTGCAGAGACGTGTTCAAACTTTAACAAATGTTGCAGAATACAGAGATGTGATAATTGGAGAATTGAGAGCGTTAACGTCGGAAGATATCACAGCCAAAAACTTGAAATTAGAGGTGACTTGAGAATTTTTGCTTGGTCTTAATTAAAAAATTCTAGAAAGTTTTAGCAAGGAAAAATACGGTCATTCACGATTTGCAGTATGAGCTAGCCAGAGTGTGCAAAGCTCACGATGACCTTTTGGACACTTACGAAGATAAATTGCAGCAATATGGGATTCCCAAAGAGGAGTTGGGGTTTGTTCCACTGAGGATATTGCAGGATGGACAAGGAGGGCTACCGAAAGGGCCGGCAGGGCTTGTCACAAAAAATCGATAGTTATTGTGTGAATAAATGCCAGAATTGAAGTGTTTGTTTTATTTCCTAACCAAAACTTAAACAAAAATAAATAAATGACGAAAAAGAACAAAAAACTTGAGGTGGTAAAGTTAAAGATAGTATGTAGGTAAGAAAGTAAAAAAAATAACCAAAACGTAGACCAAAATTTTCAAAAATTAAACTGTTGACAAAAGATAAAAATAAACAAAGACATAAAACACCACATTTAAACTTCTGACATTAAACTTCTGAGAAAATCTTAATTAAGTTAAGGTATGACAAAAATATCCTTAAATTAAAATATTAAGAGAAAGAAAGAGGCAGTAAAATATGGCATATGACAAAATAAGTAGGTATAATTATCATTACAAAAGTATTAGAAGAGAACAATAATTCAAAATTGAAGACCATTTATTTTAAAATAAAATAACCTAATTAGATCTCATTATTGAGAATTAAAAAAATATATATTATTTAAAATACAGGGTAACAAGTAAATAATAATAATTTAATTTTTTAAGATCCTGAGGAGTTTTAAACACATTTTTTCAAAGGAAAGCGCTAAGCAAAAAAATTCATTTAACATTTAAGTTTAAGATTCGTAAATATTGTAACGTTATGACATTACCACCCTGTATAAATCTACCAAATAAATTACAACATTTTTATATAATATAAAAAACTATTATGACATTTAAAAGAAAAAAAAAATGAATTCAAAAACAAAAACTTGAATAAATCAATTTTTTTAATCTTTGTTTAAACTTTTTTATTCTGAGAAATTGCTATAAATTGCTAATTGAATTTTTAATAAGTTCATATTTATGAATTATGGATGTTGGTTGCTATTTTCACTAATGTGCACACAATTTACAAAATAACATGAATCAAAATACAGACTGTTCCGGCTAAACCCCACATTAAAAGTATTAGGAGTTTCAACAGTGATATTTATTTAAAATTTTAACTATAGCCATAATTGTTTAAACCTTAGTCAATAAAAATATTTTCAAGATGGCAGTACTTCCGGTTAAATCGGAAATGGGTATCAACTTTGTTATTTTAAATAGAACGTTATGTTTTTTAATGCGTTTTTGGATTACTTAAGTGATTTAGAGAGAATTTTTTCCAATACCCAAATTTCACCGTTTTTGAAATATTTAGACTTTTTTGATATTTTGTAAATTTGCATCTTCCTCTCCAAAAATCAGTAACTCTACCATTTATAATTATATTGAAATTGTATTTGGGGATATAAAAAAAGAAAGGTTAAATCTTCCAAAATTTAATTTTAATTTAATTCCAAAATTTTTATTTTTTCTGCAATAAATGAAAGAGAATCTAATTCTGCATCAATCTGTATCAACATTTTCTATACCTAAATTTAATGATTTTCAATTTTCATTACTATCCATGATAGGCTTCGCATAGCCATGAAAATATTCTGACTGAAGTTTTTTTTTACAATTGTGTTATGCTTTTCGTAAATACAAATTAAATTTATTTAATCTGAATTTGAATAACTTTGATGTTCTATTTTTTTCCAATTTCTGTGACAACCTATGCTAAAGTAGCTAATGAATTTGTCACAATATCAAAAAAAGTTACTATAACTTGTAAACTATCAAACATAGGTATAGAGAATGTTAATACAGATCAAAGCAAAACTAAATTCTGCTTCATTTAGTGAAGAAAAAACTGGGGTGTTGAGTTGAGTCAAGGGTATTTGAAATTTCCTAAACGTAACATTACCTTATGGCGATTTGTTAATTATTTTTCCAATTACAGATACACGAAAAACAAGATCTAACCTTTTTCTCTCGGATACCTAAATACGATTTTAACATAATAAAAAATAGTACAGTTATCGATTTTTGAATAGAAAAATCCAAATCCTAAAATTTTTAAGAAGATATAAATATTTCAAAAACGGTTAAACTTGGGAATAGGGAGGAACTAATAAAAACTCACTCAAAATCACTTGAGTACTCCAAAAACGCAATAAAAAACATACCTTTCTATTTAAAATAACGAAGTTGTTATCCACTTCCGAGGTAACAGGAAGTGCCGCCATCTTGAAAATATTTTTATTGAGCAGAACCTAACCGATTATGGCTATAAACATAATTTTAGATGTTATAACTTTCAATACTTGTAATGTGTAACATCTACTTGGCGTACTACTTAAAGACGTATGTCGCATGGGAATTTGTGTGTCAGCTAGATGTCAAAGTATTATTTTAAACGTCTAAAAACATCCTAAAATAGTATATTGTAGCTGTTTATTCACACAAATCGTTCACCCCAGTTTCCAGTCATAATTTACATAAAAATTTACCGACATTTATCATATGTCTTCATGACTTTTAATATTCTGCAGACACACGTTTTAAATTTCTAGGTCTTTTGATAGACACACTCTTTGTACACTGACGGACACGGAATTTTGAACGATTTGTCGTTCGAATGACATAAAAATGTAAAACGGGCCTTAGGCAACTAACCTCACTTTCGGTTTTTGTAATTTTTATCCTGGTAACTAGAGAATAAATGGCAATAACAAATCAAAATAATTTATTGAACTTATATAAAAACACGTATTGCTGGCATTACTGTTTCGGAAAATTGACGCCAAAAATAAATTTCAACTAAAACTTTCAAATTTTAGTTCCAAACGTCAATCATAGTGACAATAAAGCGTGGCTTGACATTTTTTGAACTGACATAAATTTTATGTCCAAAATTCCGTGTTCGCCACTGTATAACCTTACTTTATTGCAAAACTGCTAAACTAAACTTATTTTATTCGAGTTTTTCCTTTTTCTAAATGTTAGGGAACTTCGAAGAATCAACATAAAAAGTAATAATGTAACGCCTACGTTAATAGATAATAACATGAAACCGTGATTATAAAACCACATTCACAAGTAATAACTACACAAACAGCAAGAAAAACCTTATTCACGTTAGCGTGACTCTTCTAATAATGTTAGGATATATTCGTAGCGGTTTCTTCATAAATTTTTGCACATATTTTTGCAAATAAATAAGAGAAATTAAGTCCATAATAAGTTCATGTATTTTAAATTAATTCCGTTAATTATTTCAATTAAAAAACACTACAAACTATATCCTCAACATTTCCGTGTGAGTTTTTGATTTATTAAAATTTTCTCTATTAATTTTTGCACTTGCTTTCTAGTTTATTTTGATGACATACCTAGGTTTTAATTTCAGTACCAGATCCCCAGTTACGTAATTCACGTAATCACGAATGAAAAAGAAATCAAAACATTTTTGTACGAAATGACCTACAAGAAATTAATTAACATCTGTCAAGGTCATTAACCTGTGCAGCCTTGAATAAAAAAATGTAAACAAAACGCTGCATTGTAGACGTAAAAGGTAAAAGTTTGTAAAAATCAGTGGCGTAGTAATTCAAATTAAAATATGAACAAAAATGGGGAGAAATTGTATCGCGAATTGACGAAAGTTACAGAATCGTCGATGAATGTGATTGTATGAAAAAAAAAATCTAATTGGTTCAAGAAACGGAAAGTAGACCGTATTTTGTTAATAAGATGCCTCTCATCGCACACATGCTTAGAGAAAGACTTTCGCCGCCGCCACCACCTTCTTTTACCAGTCGACTGTCCCGTTCTTTTCGTAGTGGAAGTGCAAATATAAAACCAACCCATTTCCATCCTGCATCAGTCTACTTTCAACTGTGTTTTGTACTGTTTTCATATTGATTGGGACAATGTATACGGTGAGAAAATTTTAACAAAAATTTTAAGTACCAAAATTTTTAATGACATTTCAGAAATTTCTGATTGCTGCTGTAACACTAGGACTAGTCGCGTCTGAACCAACGCAAATTGACTGTAAGTTTTTCAATCAATTTACGACAAAATAATGTTTTTTTTAAGTGGGTAGTTACGGCGGTGGAGGAGGCGGCG